GGCTTGAATATTCAATCCTCCCCCCCTCCCACCTCTCTCTAGCCCCCCAAATGAGCCTGAATCCATCCATATTCCTTATTCCTCCACCCAGCTCACACCCCCTACTCACCTTTGGACGGATGTTACTGTCCCAGCGAAGGCACAGCACCTCAGGGAACCTCAAGAACATGTTTATGAATCGTCGCTCTTTCCTTAATTGGCAGACACGTATCAACTTGTTGGCAACGGGCTGCAGGCTAGTCCCAACGTCGTGCTTCAAAAGACGTGGGTATCGCATCAGGGCGCTCCCAACCTCCTCCTTCTCTAATCCCATGTACCGTAAGAAATTCGCCAGTGCCCTCATCTTCGCTGCCCAACAAACACATTCACCCACACCCATCCACTTCTATTTTTAGAACTAGAAATGCACACTTCTATTTTTAGAACTGGACTAGAAATGCAAACTTTGTTTTTGTAACGAACGAAATTCAAAATCGCGCTTTTATTTTCTTAGAACCTAGGCTACCAGCCGGGCCGCCCGGGTCCCGGGTGACCAGCCCGTGCAAGGATCAGGTGAGGTCCCAGTAAAAAAAAAAAAAAAAAAAAAAAATCCAAAAATTCTGAAAAAAAAACTGTGTTATGCAGAAAAATAACCTGAACAACTTTTGCCTCAGGGACACATCGAAATTCTTCACCAAATTTAAAATAAAAAATAAAATTCAAAAATATTTTATTTTTATTTTTTTTTTTTAATTATTTTGGCCCGGCCGGGCAAGTGACCCCAGGCCACTCTGGTAGCCTAGCTTAGAACTAGAAAATCACACTAGTTCAAAATCAGCTTTAAAAATGAAATACTAATATCCAAAAAAAAAAAAGAAAGAAATCGGGGGGGGGGAGGGGAGGGGGTAGGAAAAGAGAGGGGAAAGGGGGATATCAGTGGATAGCTAAGGGGTGAGGGAAGGGGGGGCGCAAACAATTAGAAAGGATAAAAATAAATAAATAAATAAATAATAAGGGGAAAAAAATATTAAAAATAAATAAATAAAATAGGGAAAAAATAAATCAATAAAAATAAATAAAAAAATAGGGAAAAAGAAAAGTTCAATAAAAATAAATAAATTAATAAAAAAAGCTAGGCTACCAGCCGGGCCGCCCGGGTCACCCTATTTTCCCGGGCGGCCCGGCATTGCAAGGACCACGGAAGGTCCCAGCCAAAAAAAAACAAAAAAAAAAAGAGAAATCCAAAAATCCGGAAAAAAACTATGTTATGCAGAAAAATAAACTGAACAACTTTTGCCTCAGGGTCACATCGAAATTCTCTACCAAATTTACATTAAATTTTTTAATTAAAAAATGTTTTTTTATTTTTTATTTTTTATTTCTTTTTGGCCCGGCCGGGCAAGTGGACCCGGGCCACTCTGGTAGCCTAGTAAAAAAGGGATTTTTTCATTAAAAATAAATTTACAAAAAGGAGGGGGGGAATCATTAAATAAAAAAGGGAAATTTTTTCATTCAAAATAAATATATAAAAAATGGAAAAAGAAACATTCCACTGACGTGTTGCTGCGCATCGAATTGAGACGTAAACGGACGCCAAATGCATCATTCACGATGTTTGCTTAGCGAATTTTATTTATAAAAAAAAAAACAATGGAAAACAGTTTTAAAATCCTACCACTGCGACGATCCTGCAGACGCACAGTACGTCGTTGCGCATGTTCCCTACAGCGCCTCAAAAAGAGGCTTTTCTAATTTTTAAAAAGAGGCTTTTTTTTTGTTTTGTTTTTCAAATGAGCTGTGTGGAAAGACCTTCATCCCCCGAATACAACGTACGTCGTTTTCAGTAATTTTCATGGGAACTACCTTCATCCCCCGAATACAACGTACGGGGTCATTATAGCAGCTGTATTCAGACTGAGAGAGACCCAGATACAGCTATAATGACCGTGCGTTGTATTCGGGGGAAGTGCATGGGTCCTGGGGACCATCTCACGCAGATGTGTACATGTCATGCATCATCTTCACACGCAGTGATCAATAGTCTCAACCATAGACAAAGGTAGAGAAGAAGAGGACCGAGTTTCACGGCT